AAATGATCGAAAGACAATTTCAGCATCTGGAAATTTTCTCTTCCAATGACTTGGAGTTCCCTCGTATGCCACCCAGAGCTGCTGAGAGTTGGGTGGCAAACAAGTTTAATCTATTATGGCTGGTCGCACCGTCAGCCAGATGTTGAGACTGGATTTGGCATTTTTCTCCACCTATCGAGTCCTTCCCAAGGACCTGGGATAGGCAGATGTTGTTTGATGGCGTTAAAGGCATTCATTATAAATATTATTATTATTCCTCCCTTCCTGGCCAACTCAGGTGGAGGAATTGAGAGAATGTTGCCGTCCCCTCCTTGAACGGCCTCTTCCCAACATGGAGGGAACAGCTACTGTATGAAATAAAAATCAGGTCTCTTTTCTGAGCAGCTAGCTTTCTCCCTGCAGTGATTTTTGCTTAGTCAACCCAGTTTTGTCTGCTGGAGCCAAAGGGGAAAAAAGAAAGAATACATTGGCAACGGGCTCGCTTAGCGGGAACTACGGCCCTGTTTCCAAATACGGGCATTTATCTTGGGACTTCATCAAAGAAAGCCTCTTTCGGGTCATCTGTATCGCTTCTTTATGGCGGCGAAGTGTGCCCGATGATGACTTGGAACGTGAACCCTCTCTTGTGGGGCCTTGGGGAGTGGGACCCGGGCAGTTCCCAGCTCCCCGACTGCGCTGGGGGGACATAATCCCCAATTTTGGGCGTATCTCGGATTCTCCACCTGCTCTTTCTTTTTTTAAAAGAGAGTCATTATACTTTATTGAGCATGGTGGAGCATGGAAAACAAGCCGGCTGTTTTTTTTTTCCCCCTTCCTTTCTTCCTTTCTTTCTTTTTTTTTTTAGCGTGTCCGCTTGCTCCTGATTGGCCCGGGAGTGTGGGAAACTCTGGGAATGAACAGACTCACCGCATCTCAGGCAGCATGGCGGGTATAAATATGAGACCGGAGAGACCCCGGGCTGCAGACGGGAGCTTTCCTCCGAGCTGAAAGCCGGCTGGGCCAGAATGACGCCTTCCAGCATCATGTTGGTGGACCAGAACAGGCTGCTCACCCCTAAGGAGAAAAATAAAGTAAGTACCTGCAAACCAAAGCGGGGATCTGTGGAAAGAAAACCGGGGTTGACCCCAGCCGAACGTGTCCGGGGTTAGAAGAATAGAAAACTTGGGCTGGAAGAGATTGCTTTGAGGCATAACTGGGTTGCAGCCCTCCTCGTGACCCCCTTCTCTTTCCCCCCTCCTTCTTCGGCAGCTGAGAAAGCCGATGATCGAGAAGATGCGCCGCGACCGCATGAACAGCAGCATCGAGCAGCTGAAGCAGCTGTTGGAAACGGGGCCCTGGGGACACCCGCCCAATTCCAGGCTGGAGAAAGCCGACGTCCTGGAAATGGCTGTGAGCTACCTGAAGCATCAGAACCGGCTGCAGGTCACAGGTGAGTAGATCACGGATGCTAAAGGCCTTGGGACGCGCAGGGGTGATTTCTCACCTGGCCTGTTGGAACCGGGAGGGCTGGGTTCCAGCGTGCCGGCCATGCCCTGGCTGGGGGGTGCCGTTCCCGAGACTCCTTCCCGCTGGCTGCGTTTTTCCATTTTGATCAAGGCTCTGCTGAGCCCACGTGGCCTTCCCTGGGGTGTTTTGGTGGGCAAGGGGGCTGGGTTGCCTTTACGGGGCTCAGACTCTAGCGCTGAGGCCGAGGGCTGAAAAAGGGGGACACGCTTTTTCCCCTTCAGATCAGCTGCGCCAAACGTGGCTCACAAGGGGCTTCAAAGGGACCACAAGCTTGGCACGGAGGCTCGCGGCCACACGCTTCCCACACTTGGGGGAGAAAAAGTGACTGTTGAATTTTGGCTTCCCCAGCAGGATTTGCTCCCCAGGAGCGGGAGGTGGATTTCCAAGAAGGATACGCCCGATGCCTCCAAGAAGTGTCTCAGTTCCTGCTCCTTCACAAAGTCCACCCCCAGACCCAGAAGAAGCTGATGGGCCATTTTCAGCACATCCCCTTGAACGCCTCGGATGGTTTCGGCTCGCCGGCTCACCGGAAGCAATCCACGTCCAAGGGCATCCGTTCTCTTTGGAGACCGTGGACGGACTCAGCCCGGTGATGAAGGACTGATGAAGAGCTGGTCTTCTTCAACGTGTTGGCCTCCTCTGCTTTCTTCCTTTGGGGGGGCAGTTTTGAAAGGGAATTCTCTTCCCCCTTTGGAAAAAAATAGTATTTATTCTCAGGAGGGGACTGAACGGGATGGGGCGCGGGTGGAAGGCGCGGGTGGAAATGCACCACGCGAGTTGGCTCATGCGGGGATGAACCAGAGCGATGGTCCCATTTCGGGGCGCGTAAGAATCTTAGTTTCCCTCCTGCTCCTGCTAACTCAGTTTAGCCGGGGGAAAGGTTGCTTTGCAACTGACGAATCCGCGTGGGCTTCCTTGGAACAGGGCGTGCAGGTTCAAAAGCGGTGAGTCTTCACCGGTTTCCCCTTCGGAAGGAAACCCCACGGCCTTGCTTTATATTAAAGAAGAAGGATGCTTAATGGTTTGATGTCATACATTTGGAAAGTAAGAACGAACGGCGTTTGCGGGGGGAGGTGGGTGTTGCATTGCAGAGGAGCGACGTTTTGCCTTGGGTGGGGAGGAGAAAGGGGGGGTGCAGCTGGCATACTGTGTATGCGGTTTGTTTGAGAAAATAAAGACGGGAGTCAAAAAATGCCGCGTCGTTTTCCGGGCTCGCCTTGCTGGGGGCTGCGGGAGGGGGGAGAAGTTATGAATAAACCCTTCCTGGTTCTTCGAACCTCAGCAAAACCGTGGTCAAAAAACCGGGTCGAACCCAGCATGCTTCATTCTTCCATTTTTTTTCACGCTTTCCCGCAACCGATACTCGGATTTTTGTAGCTATGGGGCACACGCAGGCTTTCACATTTCTCCCTTTGGTGCTTTTTCAGGAGGGAATAATTGTCCACTAGGGCAGCCCCCATGCCCAGCCTTGAAAAAGCTCCTCAGGGCAGTTAGGGCTGGGAAAGGAGACCACAAGGAAATCCCACTGGGGAAGAAGGCTACGGGAATCCTCATGGCTTTGTCTTCAGGAGACCAGGCGATGGGCTACTTTTTGGTAGCCAAGGGGGCCCCTGAGCATTTCTGAAAGGCTGGAGGTTGTGAGGAGGGGTGTCTATGAGTAAGCACCCATTTATTATTACACGATACTGTATTTAGTATTATTATTCTATTAATAATAATGGGATAATGTTATTGTTTTAGTTCTAGTCCTCTGTTAGCCACAGAAGCCGGCTGGGTGACTCTGGGCCAGCCCCTCTCGCTCAGCCCAACCCACCTCGCAAGGTTGGTGTTGCAGGGAAAACAGGAGGAGGGAGCATTCTCCTGCTGCCTTGAGTTCTACAGAATACATACACATATATACATATATACACCCACACACACACACACAGAGATACACACACACAAACACATACATATATACAGAATATACATATATATATATACACACACACACACACAAACACACACATATATACAGAAAATATATATATATATACACACACACACAAACACACACACACAGATACACACACACAAACACACACATATATACAGAAAATATATATATATATACACACACACACAAACACACACACACAGATACACACACACAAACACACACATATATACAGAAAATATATATATATATACACACACACACAAACACACACACACAGATACACACACACAAACACACACATATATACA